TTTTTTTTTTTTTTAAGGATGCTGTGTTAAACTGCTGTGTTTTACATCTCTGACAGGGTTCTAATCTTTCTCTCAACATTGTGAGGGAAGTGTTCTGGGATTTGTAGCTCTACAGGCATCTGTAAAAATATGAATTATCACCTACAGGCGAATCACACTGTCGTAGTCCCTAAAAGTGCAGGGACAGTATTATTATTATTATTATTATTATTTATGTGTTTATTTGTTGTTGTTGTTGTTTGCATTGAGCAGCTTTGGATTTTGATGCAGTTTAGGCTTTGTGAGTGAAAATGTGATGATACACTAATTTAGTACAAAAGCTAAAAAAAAAAAAAAAAAATTCCCACAGGCCCTTGCTGATGTTTTTTATGTTATAGAATAAAACAGGAAAATGAATATTAACAATGAATATAAAAAAATTAATGTGTTATAAATGTTCAGTGATTGTGGTCTCAGCCACATTGCTCTTATTTGTTGCATTCTATAAAAAATGTTTAAATGTCTTAACAGGCAGCACATTCTTGCAGTGAAGCAGGGTCATAGCTACTTTCACCTCCTCCAGAAGGAGGAGCAGGAAGCGAATCAGAGATAGTCTGCTACTCACTGTGGGCTTAATGTTTGGCTTATTCTAACAAGTCACAAGGGCAGGGGATTATCAGATGCTAAGTCTTTGTTAGCTTCAGAGTAAAGGTCAGGATCCAAAACATCTGCTTGAGTGTTTGAGCAGTTAAAGAGAGTCTGCTGCATACCACCTCCCATAAACACACACACACTGTATGGATCTCCAGCCGATCCCCCTGCCCCCAGCACAATGCTGATCCAAACAAGACGTCAACTCACAACTCAGCAAGATTTCACATATATAATACCATTCACAGCCATAGTGGACTACAGGAAAGACTACACCACTTCTTCCAGCACTAACTCCACTTCAGGGATGTATTACTCGCTACATTCCTTCTTTTAAATTGAAAGTGCAGTCACGTGTTGGTGCATTTCTGAATTTCTTCTGGCTTCTTAATTGCTTTCGCTTCATTCCGCATTGGCAGCTTGGACCACAAACACATGGGAATGTGCACCAGTGCTATTGATTGCTGTGAGGCAAAGTTAAAGACACATTTCATGCCACAATGAGTGAGTCATGACTGTTTAGTTGCTCCACTCACTCATTCCCACATCTCTTTCGCTCTCGCACTCTCTGAACAAACAGGTGGCTTCATTAGGCCAGTTATTTTTTTAGAGGGCTTTAATTGCAATTCTGTGTACTGATGCTGTGTTCTTCATCCACCTACAGACTGATTAAGGTTGCAGTATCGGGCTAACGAGAACACGCTTTGTTCAAATCATGCTGTAATTAGTGCCATATACATGCTGGAAAAAGCTGCACATTTAGCCAAGAGATTTACCCCAACCCCCCTCACCACACACCACACACACACACACACACACACAATACCTCTTCCTCCATCTGTCTAATATAGAAATAAGAGGAAACGGAGCAGAGGAAACCAATCACTGAGGAGAATTGCTTTTTAAAAGCCTGAGGGTGGTGTAATACTGGCCATAGCTGGAGTCAGCACTACAGGCCCAAATTATACATTGCAGGACACGGTGCCAAATAAATCTGGCCTTGTATCGGAATCAAAATCACTCACATTTTTGCAATAATGTAAATGAAAAAGTTGCACATCTTGCTTGAAATTCCTGTCCAAGTAGGTAGATTCTCTTTGCATTTTTCCCATGCACTTCTGTGAACTGTTCCAAATCAATTTTTCTTCCTCAAATTGACTTCAAAGCTACATGGCTAATCCTCTGATCCTGTCATTGCCCTTTACCATTATTAATCTCATTAATAATCCTGTTAGAGACTTTCAGACATGGTTGTTTATTGGGTATTATTGTCTGGTGGAGGAGAAGAAATGATGAGACTGAAAAAAAGGGATTGCGCCACCATCGGAATTAAGCAATTATTTGCTGTTTTCTTGACTTTATTTGGTGCATACAAATAAATGAATTAACAAACAAAAATTAAATCTCTTAATCTGGCTCTCACACCTGTGAAAATATGGGAAACTGAAAATTGAGAGCTTTCTCTCCCTAAGCTTTCTCACAGAAATCCTCTATCTTGGCAGTGACAGTGACGGTCTAAATATGTGAGTTTCAGCTAACACACTGGCAGAGACGGTAGGTTTGGGAAGATTTTGTATGTTTCTAACCTTTCCGGTGTTCTCAGTCCCATTTTAAGAAGGATTGCATTGTTACTTTGTTACTTTACCTTTAGAATGGAGGCTTTAAATGTCAACACATGCTGACCATTTATACAGAGTGCTTTTGAGTTGTTCTTGGTGTCAGACATTAAGTTAGAAAGTACATATTTATAGTACTGGAAATATAGTAGTGTCTAGTATAAATATAGTACAGGCCAATGCAGCATAATGTGATGAGTGCAGTTGTAACTTTACAGAGCTTTAGAAGTTTTATTATATTTTGATTATGTTGTATAATTTTTTGTTTGCTTTTTATGCTGTTTTTGGGGGGAGTGGGGGTTCCGTTTTAGCAGTCAGAGAGATTGTTGGTTATGATAGCGTTACATTTGCGTCCAGAATGAACAATGGAGTTGTGAGTTTCTTTGATAGTTTTGACAAAGTGGCCTTAGTTGTTGAGCAAGGTCTAATGATTCGGGATGTCTTTGTTCAAGAGGTACCGCTCGTTAATCCGGCAAAAAAAGATAATTTTGTCTCAAGTCCCTCCATTTAGTAATGAGATGCTGGAGAGGGAACTGGCAAGACATGGGCAGTTAATGTCACTGATAAGATTGATTCCTCTTGGTTGTAAATTTCCGCATTTGAAGCATGTTGTTTCGTTAGATATGATAGAATTGAATATGATAGACGTTTTAGATTATGATTCTAAAAAAAACAACAATAAAGAACTCAATTTAGTATTCAAGTTAAGAGTATGTGGCAGTGCAAAAACTTTGGGCCACAACATCTTTTGGTTTACTTTCGTTTTCACTTTGAGTGATTGGGGCGGAGTTTTCAATTAACGGCGGAAGGATGGAGGATATAAAGGAGATGTGACGTACCTGAGAAAAACACGTCATCAGAAAGTTTGCGTGCAAGGTTTGCAGGTGCATGGTTGAACGTTAATGGTTAATGGAGTAGAAATACGGCCGCTCGGAGTATTGCTTCCTGTGAGTGTTGTTTGAGCGTCGTGGAGTTTGACTAAACTTTAAGCGTGGCGCTTCAAGATCGTCTGTGTTGGTGAGATATTTCAACAACAAGCTTGCCTGTTCATCCTCCTGTCCCGGTGTCTGATGACGACCCGCTACACTCTTCAGCTTCCTTCACGATTGCAAACCTGGTCAGTAGCCTACATGTACGCCGCCGCCATTTCACACATTACTACACACATACCTACTCACATTAGATTCCCATCCGCACATTCTTTGTGTTTTTTATTTTTTTCATAATTATGCAAATGTTACTTTTGCTCTTTAAGACTGTTGTTTGATGTTATTGTTTTCTTAAATATGAACAATTTTTATTTAATGTTCCTTTTTTCTCTCTCTTTCTATGGTCAATTTATGAATGAACGTGGACGTGAAACTGCCACTGTGGAAAATAGAATGACGCGCTTTTCTTCACGTATCAATTTCACGTGTGAAGTGAAATAAAGTTGTGAACTGTTTCTTTTTCTTTTTGGATGACCTTTTTCAAACACGTTTTTTTCTCATGGACATTATGGAATAAATTCCCCTTCTGAATTATTCATTGGACTGTTTTTTTTATTATTGTAACAGGTGGTTTCTTTTTTTGGGCTATCCTGGGTTAATTTAAATTGTCAGGGTTAAAACCTGACTAGCGCCCGAATATTTTCCTTAATAGAGTTTATTTATGCTAGGGCGGCCACCACCGTTACAAGTAGATGATTATATGGTTTATGCCTCCTCAGAAAACATGAAATGTTTTTAGGTGTGGCATGGAGGGTCAACTCCTACGTTCTTGTCCAGAAAAAAATACTGCTGAGGCTAATAAGACTCCAGAACAAGTTGAATTAATCTCAAAGACAAAACCAGAATGAATCAAATGAAACTCAGAAGAGACAAATACAGAATGAATCAAGTGAAAATCAGGGACAAAAACAGAATGAATTAGCTGTACATCAAAGACAACAGCAGAATGAACTTCAGAGACCAATACTGGGTGAATTAAATGAACTTCAAAGACAAAAACAGAAAGAAGTGAATGAATCGCAGGGACAAGAACAATATGGATCAAATGAATCTTAAGGACACATTTTTTTTTTTTTAAATGAATCTCAGAGTCAGAAACAGAATGAATCAATTGATTCTCAGGGAACAAAACAGAAACAACAAAACAGAGCTGAGAGGTTTGAACACAATTAAATGTTGAAGCAGGAAAACAGAGAACTCTGTTGAGAACAGTCAACAGATAATCACTGATACTGAGGAAGAGGCAAGTACTAGCATGGAAATAAAAGAGGTTGAATTGCTTTGGATGAAGAAAGTGAGATGCTTATAGATGATACTTCTTCCAGAGATAAGGATAAAAAAAAATTTAAAAAAAAAAAAAAGATTTTTTTCAGTCTCCTGATAAAATGAAAAAGTTTCCTCTTCAAAGTGAGTGTTTTCAGACTTTTGATATGTTGGAATGGACTCTGATGAGGATTCTGTAGCCTCCACACAGTTCTGGTCCTTGAAATAAAGTGGTTACTCAGTGTTAAGCATCAAGAAATTTATTGGTTAAAGAAACTTGATCTGAAAGCAAAAAAAAATAAAAAAAATAAAAAAAAATGGTGAAAATGTTTAGTATTTTTTTTATAATTTGTTTTTATTTTATTTTTCTTTTGTCATATGAGTGAGTTAAAAATAGTTATTGTAATGTCCACGCAATTGGCCCAACGAAGGTATCCAACAATGGCTGAAGGTTTTCGGTGCGCAAAGTTATTTAATTTTAATTAAATTCTAATATGACTCCATTTTATTATGACCTCGAATTTAGATTGAAATGCAAATTGGTTGTTTGTCCATTTCTAATTATTATTATTCTAACATTTGATTATTCTAGATAACTCTTTACTTAATTTATTTTTAAATTTTAACTTTTTTTTTTATATTTACTCGTTCATTAGGAATCTGTTGCTCAGAGTGTCTCACGTCGGCTGTTTTACACGACCTCACGGTCACAAACTCGCCAGTCTGATCATTAGCAAGAGATTATGACTAATACTATTTAATAGGTCGCCCATGCTTATCATTCTTTAAATAGTAGTTCTGTTTAGCCCCCTACAGTCAACTATGTACAACTTAGTTAAAGCTCAAACAATAATCAGAGGTTATGCAAGTACTATTTGTCTAACCCCTGATAGTTATATAACTACGTACAACTTGAATAAAGCAGAGAAATTTTCAAAGATAAATGTCAGAGTAAAGGATGCATACCTGAATTCAGGAAAATACATAGTATGGAGTGTATGGACACACTCCACGCAACACGCTCATCTGGTTACAGAAGCGCCCAGATCTTCTTGCAACATTCACTTAAATACTCAGACTAAGACAAACATCCTCCAAATGGAGACGGGAACTTACAATTGGAATTTGCATTGATTGTGTACACCTTTTGGGTGATAGATGGTAAGTTGCATAAAAGACACTGGGAAATGGCACACCCTCTACAGCAGGGGTGCCCAACCCTGCTCCTGGCGATCGACTGTCCTGCAAAGTCAGAACATTATATTTTGCTATTGACCATTCTGAGTGAGCTGAGTATGCTGAGCTGAGAGCTGAGATGGGTGAGGGGAAGGAAGTGGATGAAAAGGATAGGTGAGAATGGACTTTTCTCACATCTTCTCTCAGTGAGATGTCGAAACGGATGTCTGTATGTTAATACACGTGGACCATATTTTAAGGATCTAAGCGCATGGTCTAAAGCGCACAACGCAAGTGCACTTAGAGCGTGTCCAAATCCACTTTTGCTAGTTTAACGACGGGAAAAACAGTCGGCGCGCCGGGCGCATGGTCCAATAGGGTTGTACCTATTCTCTTAAAGAGTCATGGTTGTGTTTTGGGTGTAACGTGCAATAAACCAATCAGAGTCTCATCTCCCATTCCCTTTAAAGGCCAGTTGCGCTCGCACCATGGCGGATTCGCTATTTACATGGTGGAATTTGCAAGAGCAAAGACTGAACGCTTCTCCCAGTTGGTCAAAGGCGCAGTCTATTTCAGTTGCCTCAAAATAGCAACCCGCAAACAATGTGCCTGAATACACCTCATTTTCAGACCAGCACGCCCATGGGCACAAATGCATTTGCTATTTAAACAATGTGGCGCAGGATGTGAAAATGATAACTGCGTCGGGCTGAAACTAGCAACAAACACTTGCGTCGCGCCTGGCGCCACATCGTGCCTGGTGTATGATAGGGCCCTTTGTGTGCATTGTCCATATTTCAGAAGATTAAAGTGTCTGAGGTTCTTTAAATCTTACAGTAGCTTGAATTTAAATGGTACTAAAGATGAAGGAAAAATGGCTTAATTTTTCAGGCTGTGCTCCCTTCTATTAATCTAGATGTTATTTTTGTACAAGAAACCCATAGTACTGTTGATAAGTTGATTGGAAGAGAGAATGGGATGGTGATGTTTTTTGAGTCACAAAACTAATAACATTGGTGGAGGGGTAATTCTCTTTTCCAATTTTTTTTACTCCTCAGTCTGTTGAGTGTGTTGAGGTCATTAAAGGCCATTTGTTAAAAAGTAGTGCATCATATGAAAATGTACGACTTGTGTTTATTACTGTATATGCTCCAGTTGTTGGCACAGAGAGACTGTTTTTTTTTAAAGGCTGCAAGTGTTAAGATAATGAGATTGTATTTATTGGTGGGGATTGGAATTGCACAGAAGATAGTAGATTGGATAGAAATCATGTGGATCCTCATCCTGCTTCTCACACTCATAGGATTCATTTGATAAAGACTCATGATTTATGTGATGTGTGGAGAGTTTTTCATGGTAATCAAAGTCAGTACACCTGGACTCATTGTAAAGACAATCTATGGCCAGACTTGATCACTTTTATTGCTTTAAACATCATGTCAATATATTTAAAAATTGTTTTATTTGTCCAGCAGACTTTTCTGACCACTCTAGTGTTGTAATTCTTTTTTTTTTTTATGTGTAAAGCCTAGTAGTGCCTACTGGCAATTTAATACAGCTCTTTTAACGATAAAAAATGTAAAGAAGTTTTGTGACTTTTTGGAAAAACCATCTAATAACAAAAAGTCATTTTATGTCTCTACAGCAGTGGTGGGATTAAAAGTTCAAACAAAGCAATTGTGTCAACAATACAATAGGAATGTCACCAAAGTCTTGATGAATTCGATGAAAGCTCTGGAGTCTGAAGTGGAGAAACTCCAAGGCCTGGCTGAAGCCACTAGAGACTAACGCTATTGTGAAGCTCTTGAGATTGAAAAATGCAGAACAGGAAAACTCCTGGATTAGATGGACTACCTGTTGATTTTTTAGAAATCCTTTTGGCCTGTATTTGGAGAAGATATTTTGGCAGTACTGAATGATAGCTTAGAATAAAGAATGTTATAAAGAATGTTTACCTTTAAGTTGCAGGAGGGTGGTTCTTATATTACTGCCCCAAAAAAGGCTAAAATATTTAGGTGTTTTTTTGGGTGAAGAAACATTTGGACTTAAAAACTGGGATAATGTCCTTGAGAAGGTTAAAAGTCATATAGTCAAACTGAAGTGGATTTCACCAAAAATGTTTTATAGAGGTTGCGTTCTTCTTATTAATAATTTGATTTCATCGAACTTTATGGCATCGCCTGACATGTGTCGATCCTCCACTGAGTTGCTGTCAAAGGTTCAGGTGCTTTTTGTTGATTTCTTTTGGGACGGATTATACTGGACGTCTCAGAGTGTACTGTATTTGCCGAGGGATGAAGGAGGACAAGGTTTGATCCACCTGAGTAGTAGAAGACCATCTGTGCGATTCCAGTTCATACAGGGGCTTCCCTGTGGTGCTGCAGACCTGGTGTGGAGACCTCTAGCATGCATTATTTTGAATCAGTTGGGTGGACTGAGCAGAACTTTGTTCTTAATAGACTTAAAACAATTCAACTCGAATGGACTGCCAGCTGGAATTTGTTAAAACGGGAGAGGATGGGATATCATGATTCATTGTACTGGTTGCTTTCAAGAGCCAGTCGTACACGGGACTTGTTTGAGTATAACCTGTCAAATGGGTCCTAGTCTACTCAAGAAGTTTGGTTTGTCAAATGTAGTGACTTTGGGACATGTAATTCAGTTTACAGGTGCAAACATGGGCAATGCTCATCGCTTTGCCTCTCATTTAAAGGTACACTTCACTCGTGTGATCACATTGTTACTCAATAAGTGGAGAGAAGATTTAACAGACTTAACTGAGCATACTTTGCTCTGTATTGTAACGGTTCTGTTTAACTCAATGATACTGATCTTTTTCCTTCGATAAGGGTTCTCCCAGATTTTAAGGATTGTATGGGATTTTAGAAAAAGCTAATTATTTTGTGTCTGTAAATTATGCTGATTAGGAATTGTTGTACACTTTATTCATTAAAGTTCTGCACAGAGACCAATGCTTTTCAGTTTTAAACTTTGATGATAATCATGACTTCCTTTCTGTACTCTGCGTGAAACAGTTTTTTATTGTGTTATGGATTGTTGCCGTCTCTAGCCTCTGTTTTCCATGCTGGAGAATATTTTTTAATTTATTTGGTGTAGTTTTTTTTTTCTAAAAAGATGTTTATTCTAGGTTATAGGTATTCCCAGAAAAAGAGGGAGCAGTGTCAGCTTTTTAATTATATTTTGGGAAAAGCAAAGATGGCTGTATATATGAGTAGACGAAATAGGGTGAAGGGATCTGATGATGATGTGGTATTCATATTTGTTAAAACGTTGAAAGCTCATTTAAAAAGAGATTTTAATTGCTATAGTTTGATGAATGATCTGAAAAAAAAATTCCAGTATTTCGTGCTACAAAAATGTACTTTGCTCTGTTGTAGAGGATGAATACATTTTTAATATGTTGATTTAATGGGATTTGATCAATTATGTTTGTGGTAATTGGTTTGTCTTAAAGTATTGTAAAATCTCTCTCTCTCTCTCTCTCTCTCTCTCTCTCTCGTTAAACGTGTAATACAACATTTTGGTAACACTTTCATACAATAAGAATTAGTTTGCTATATGCTATGCATGCATACATTAATATTTGTTAATGCATTTGGTATTATGCATTAGCAATTATCTTATTTTACATGTATTAATCTTGGTTTATGTTCATTTGTGAAAATAATGCTGTTATATGCATTTGCATATGTATTAGTATTGACTGAAATTAATATTAACCAAGATTAATGGGTGCTGCAAAGTGTTGTTTGTTTTTAGTTTACATTAACTTTGTATTAAGTAATTTTAGCATTTGCAGTCTTATTTTAATACATGCAATCAAGTCAGATGTTGTGATTTAAATAGGTTTCAGAAAGGGAATGCACCATGTTGTCATGTAGGTATATATGTAGGATTGCTAGAGGGCATAAATTAACACACATAAAATGCTGTTATAGGGAAGTATTATTTGTGTTCTGTACCCGTATTCTGTGAATACTTGTTCAAGTTGTAAGTTGTTGCCTACTGGCAATGTTGTTGTTCCGATTTTCTTTTCCTCTTGTTTTCCAATTAGCCAAATTGCAAAAGAATATGAGCTATTCCCCCCCCCTTTTTTTCCCTTTGGGTAAAAAACAACAAAAACAAAACATTTGCACACCTCTCTCCACAAAATAACATTTTAGAATTTATTCTTACAATTTCGTTTATTTATACACATGAATTCACTCAAGAAATAAGGATTAAGGATTAGGATTGCAGCAAAACACAAAGACCAACTAATTTTGAATCTTGGAACCCGTTTCAAAGTGTGTTTTGCACATTTATGCTGAATATGTCTAACCATAATTTGCTTCATTTTTGCATGCCATGGACAGACACATAAAACTTGACTGCTAAACTATGTAACCCCAAAATTATGCCTGTTTAGATTAACACCATATACTTCATATAGTTAAAAATGAAAACCGATGGAAAGAGTCTATCCTTTTGCTAAAAAAGATGTGTGCATCAGCTGGTATTGTACTCAAGCTTAAGCATCAATGTTAATCTTTGCCTTTGAAGTTTATATTGGCAAGGTAAGAGGAATTAAAAGGATTTATTTAGCATTTCATTTACATTTTTTTAAAGAAATCTCATAGAGAACATGAAGAACTGATAGAAAACAGATTTTTAACATTCCCTCAAACAAAAAAAGGAAGATCTAGAAATTATATACTTTTTACATTTTTGTTTGAATTTGGATGTTTAATGACTAAAGACCTGTTCAACTTATATTTTTCTTATCTTACATTATGCATTTGCATTTTTTTCTCTCGTCTTTCAACATTACAACTAGATTTTGATCTGTTTCTTATTTTGAGCTTTATTTTGGGCAGAAGCCCCAGATCGATTGAGTGCTCAGATTCGGTCCTGATGATGAGCATGGTGGCACAGTCTTAATATTTTCCCATGGCAGATTAAGTGGGAAATGCATGAAATGAGTGACAGATTTTCTCTCAGGCTTGATCAGCTGGGAGAAAAAGGGTCAGTGGCTCATCAGACTGGGTCATGGCCCATCTC